ATAAATTAGTGTACCACATGAGAAACCTCTGTGGCAGAAGCTAGTAAATACATATGCACTATGACCCAGGAGTACAACTCCTAGGTATTTACCCAAAGGAGATGACATATACCTACCCAAAGATACGTACAAGCATATCTGTAGCAGCCTTATTTGTAATAGCCAAAATTGAGGGGAAACCCTAATAGAATCAATAAATAAGTGGTGGTATATTTAAATAATAGAAAACACAGCAAATACAAAGAATAAATTACTATTATTTGCATCAACATGAGTGAATCTCACAGATAAAATGTTGAGGAAAAAAGGAGAAAAATTAATGTATACTGCATAATTCCATCTACATGAAGTTCAAAAATGAGCAAAACTAATCTGATTTTGTAGGTCAGAATGGTAAGCTTTGGGGAGGTATCAAATGGCGGATGCCTAAGAAAATGTGCTGGGGCGGTGGAAATGTTCTATATCAATCTGGTGGCACTTACTTGGCTAAAAATACATAAAAATTCATCAAGCTGTACACTTACATGAAACCTCAATAAAAAATAGAAAAAACACAGACTAATTTAATTTTAGAACTAGAAAGAAGCTCAGTGGCCACCTTGGCCAACTTCTATTTTACAGATGAGGAAACCAAGGCTCAGAAAAATTAAGAAGCTTGTTAATGTCACACAGGTAATTTATTCATTTTTTTTCAACAAGTAATTACTAGACACTTACTCTTTGCTGAGACCGTATTAGGATACAGGTTAAACCAGACAGACACATTACCAGCTTTCATGAAGCCTACAGTTTAGCTGTAGAAACAGAAATTAAACAAATAACCTAAGAAATAAATATGTAATTGCGGGTTATGATAAATGTTGTGAAGGACCAACCAACACAACATGTTTTCAGCAATAGCACCCAGGCAGGAGCCCAGCTCACCTGGCTAACAGAGTAGTGCTATCTTGACTCCAGCAACACTGTCTTTTACCATCAACTTTGAACTTTTTAAAAACCAGGAGCAAATTACAGATCTACATGAATCTATTTCTCCTGACTTCAAAGGGCAACATTTAATTCTAAATTTAGCATAAGCAAAAGAATAAATAAATTTAAAAGGATGACTCTCTCCCAAGACTTGCCAAAAAGGACTCAATTTCAGCAGGGAAGGCATTCCTAAAATTATTGGATTTGAAATTTGTTCCGTGTTTGTTAAAACCAAGTTCTTTAGATTCATAAGGTGTATGCCTGGCCGTGGTCTCTCAACCACTTTCCCTTAGCAGAGCAGCCTCCCACGCCTGTTTACTTGATATTTACGTGGATCCAATGGTTATAAATTAGCCAACTTAGAAAACAGAACTGAGAAAAATCTATCTTAAGACAACCAAGATAGCTGTAATAAAATTAAAATACACAACACATCTGATTTCTTAACCAACTCAGAGTCTATTAATTTGGGGATTTGTTTTGAAAGATGCCAGCTACTGCTCAATATCCGGCTGGGGCAGATTGCCTCTGCAGAAAGCCTGGTCCAATTTTCCTGCAACAAAACACAAGTCATTAGTAACCTCAGTTTGCTTTGATAAGAAACAACCATAATACCACCATCTCAGGTTTGGTTCCCTGAGAAGTATTCCCTGATTTGAGTGAAAGTAGTTCATTTGGGAGCTCACCTAGGAAGCTCTGGTGAGAAGACAGCAAAGTGAGAGAGAGAGAAGGGGAAAGCTGTGCACACCTGGGGCTCATCAGATTGGCAGCCTCTAGGAGACTGTGGACCGTGCCTCAGAGTTGGCCCACCTGAGGGGCCAGGAGGCTGGGGTACTTATGTTCCAGCTCCCATCCATCAGCATTTGAGGCTACTCCTGGGGACTTAGCTCCCTGGTGCTTCCAGCTACCCCTTGTGTGGGCTGAGCACACAGCTTCAACTAGAAAAAGCCCACAGGCAAAAAGTGAAAGCTATTTGCAATGAGAAGCCATCTGTGCACAGGAAAATGGAAAATGCTGAGGGAATATGAATGGCCACCAACAGTGTCAGCTATACCTGTAACTCAATTAGTGGAGCCTTAGTGCAAGGGCGTGCAAGAGAGTCGAGTCTTAGACACAAGTATCAGGCATGTGGAAAAAGCACCAGTTAATTAGAAATCAGCTAACAGAGGATCTATTACGAAATAGCGACTTGCTTTAAAATTGAAAAGTACTATGCGAATAAAGCTATTCTTTTCTTCTGCTATTACTTAGACCATCTGTAGCCTGTCTAATAACCAAAGGAATTACTTTTCTCAATGGGAAGATCACCCTGGGTCTTCGCGGGCTGCAGGTCTTCCTGGTCAACTTCAGTGGAAGAATGAGTGAATAGTGGTCACGCATGGTATCAAGGGATTTTATAGATATATCACTTAATTTATTTTCAATTTAATGAAAGAAAAAGAAACTAAATGGAAACTAAAGGAATTGTTAAATTTTAAACAAATCTTTACCATAAGATATTATTTTCTAATACATTCCTCTAAGGTTAAGAAAAGGAATTATGAAATCTGTTAAGAGGTTGGTATCCTTGGGAGTTTTTAACTAAATCATGCAACTTAAGATCATATAAATTCCTTCTTTCTCCAATAGATGAAGTCATTAGCATGATGTCATTTCCCTTGCCCTGACTCCTGCTTTTTGTCAGTATAATTTTATACTGTCAAGATATAACAATTTACATTCTTTACTTTAGCCTAATTTTCCCAATTATGTCATATTCACTTGATATTTAAATGAAGGCACTGCTCCTCACCAGTCCTTTTACTGCAGCTTCCCAACCTCTAGATTCTTTATTTTGATTTATACTTGTTGCCAAAGTTCACAGTCAAGCAGTTTTTTAAAGAAGGGCCCTTGAGTACTGGTAACGCTTAAGATTTTTGCTGCTTTGTTTGCCTTTAGTCTTGGGTGACATCTTAGCTGGAAATAATACCCTCACTTCACACTCTGCTTCCTTCATTGCTACTCTGCAGCCTTTTCTCCCTTCGGTCAGGGTATTGAATGTTGCTATGAAGTCTTCTGATGCCAGCCAGAAGTATTAGCTTTGTCAATGACTCTCTCAGCCTAGAATTTTCAAGAATTTTTCTTTTATTCTGGAAATACGGCTGTTGAGCATTTGTACCCGTTTTCCTAAAATATGATGAGGGGATTTTTTAATATGAATTTTCTCTCTTTGTTTTCTTTTTTTCATTTCTATAAGATGACGTTGTCACTTCTGTCTGAGAGGAGTCCCTTCTCCTATTTCACCTATTTCTTCCCAACAGTCGTTTCCACCACACTGTAGCAGAAGACAAACAATAAAGTCTCCCCTTTCATTCGTCCTTCTCCATCCCTGGCCAGGATTCCGTGGGCTTCTGAGGAACAGAGGAAATGGAATTCCGTGTGCCGTGCTCTCTTGTGATTTTCTGTTTTGCTCCCTCTGGAGTTTGCTGTTTCTCTCCTCAGCTCTCACTCTTTGAGGGTGATGGCATTGAGGTTTTTCTATTGATGATGACTTTTGCTGGCCTTTTGTTATTTTTGTTACATTTCTTATTCAGAAAGCCTTTCTGTAAGGCAGTTTTATTCTTCCTTCTTAACATTACATATCCCTAGAATTGATATTCATAAGCTCCCTAGCTAATTCATAGGCTCACAAAGTTCGAGATCAGTGATTTATGCATTCTTACACCCAACAGTACTCCCTTTTCTCCAACCAGCATAGGCTTATCCTCTCTGAGACTCAGTGTGACTTTATCTGCAAAAGGAGAGTAAGATCTTGCTGGCTACACCTTAGTGTGAGGCTGAGACAATGAGATAAATGAGTTAATGGGTAGTAATATACTTCAGAAAACTTTCTCACACTTGAGAGAGATGATAATATTGTTGCAGTTTCCACGTTCTCCTTACATAAACTGAGGAATTACATAAACTGAAGTATTTAGGTTTTACATCTGTTTGGGCACTATCGTTGCTAAACTAGTAGCAGACTTTTCAGAGATTTCATTCTCCACTGTATTTTACTAGAATAGCTATTACAGTGGATACAATTAGAATGCCTGCTTTTTGTATTTTTTTATGGAGACCTTAAAACCTTGAAAATAACCTGAACAGCATAAATTTAATGATTATTTTTGAGTGGTTGATTGATTTATTTGTAACCTGAAACCGCACCATGAGGGAAGACTAGCAGCTAAAACAGAAAAAACGAGGAAGCCCAGGAAGCGGCAAGTTGTTTTGTATCTGTTTATAATACTATTCACACTGGATAGATGATTACAGAAAAGCAAAGTATCATAAAAGGATTTCTTTCTCTAGTTCTACCCCAGAGACAGGCAAAGCAAAAGATGAACAGCTGAACCCACAGAGCCGGGAGGCCCACACACATTTTACCGTGTAGTAGTCGAGAAGATAAAGGACGTTACGTAAGTGTTCCCACTAATTCCTAAAACTGAAAGCTGTGTGCTGTTTTGTGGTAATAACCAAGTGGAGGCCACCTTCATCCTATACCAAAGGAAGTTCCATGAGCCCCTTTAAAGCCAATAAATTTATACTAGGAGAGACCTAAGTAAGAGCTTAACAGATGCATGCAGTTTTATGGCTGAGCTTTCATAGGATTCTGCCAATATGGCACCTACCTATGGAGAACAAGGGTTGATTAACTCTTTTCTTCTTCCAACAACTTCTCAACATCTCTGTTCCTTGCTGCAGACTTTCTGTCTCAGAAAGATCGTGAGATCACACGATCGCAAAGATCACACTCAACTTTCCCGACCCAATTACTTTTACTTCCTGAGAACAAAGGTCACTTCTTAGCACCTGTCTTTTTCCCATCAAGCCTCAGGAGCCACCATCCCACAGCTTTCCTCAGACAGTTACAGTGAAGAAGCACTTTCAGGGTCCTGATTTCTAGAGGTTTGGAAAACAGACTTGGGATGCCTCGTGGTGCCATATGAATGTGAGGTCCACATAGAAAATGAGCCAAATGGTAGGGCATAGAAAATTTTGTTGAAAATGAACATATTTCAAAGCTGGATATCTTTTATTTTTATAAATAACATTTAAATACAGAGGTTAATCAGATGTTCTCAAAGGCTCCCATTGTATTAGCACAGACACTTCAGAGAGGAAAGACAGCACATTTAAGTGTTTCTGCCATATGACAGCAAGATCCAAGGCTGGTTATATCCAGACATCTTAGTACACATAGTATCAGATCACTTGCAAACTACAAGTTTTGGGTTTATTCTTTTTATTTGTGGATACTCCTGGATAATTTCCCTTAATACCTTCATTCCAACTGTCTACACTGTGCAATTATATCACACCAATTATATGACTTCTGGTTGACTTAAACTCATTCTTCAACTTTCATGAGTTTGCTAAAAAAAATTTATGAATAAACCATATTTAAATTTTAACCCATCTGCTCCCTCCTGCCACCATTTTCCCTATGAATTTATTCCATCTGTGCGTGTATGAGATAGTCTAAAAGAGCTGATAAGAAACTGTTTTTCTTCATTTATCAATAGTATCCATTCTGTAAAGCATAACGTATTGGAATTTTAGAAGTATATCTTAATATCAGCCACACTTTATATGCCAATACTCTACTTTTTAAAAAACTATCACATTTAGACATAGATATTCTGAAGCCAAAAGGTTTTTAACAAAAAAAGTTCAAATTCTTTCTCTGTTCTCAGTAGCACCAACGCAATAACTTTTGTGAAGTGGGACTCTAAGGACCCAGAAAGATGTACATTATCCACATGGGAGCGGAGAAGAAGTCATACTGTTGCAACAGATATGGCTTTATTCATACGCACACATATATTTCCATGACTGCATTCAGAACACTGTTACTTTATTGTGCCTACTGTATTTTCATGTTTCAAAGAGTTGAGATAGTGATTTTCCCATTTTAAGTGTTATTCCTTTCTGATATATATGATTTTTAAAGTCTAAAAAAAATTCTAATTTTTGGATGGGAAAAGAAAAGTTTCTGTTAGCATGGTACTAGTGCATTGCATAGCCTGATGGCAACATAAAATTTAGAAGGCTCCAGAGCTCCTTCCAAGGACACTGCATCCCATAATCAGACCCTAGTGAATCTCCAGGATGGAATCTACAATTCTAGTTGCTCTTCACGGAGCTGCTATGACCTGAGTCATTGGCAACTTGTGCATATAGATTCACTTGTCTTGTTTTAATCTTGAGATGGAAAAAGAAATCCATAATATTTCCAAAGGATTTCTGCACAGGGAGGAAACACCAACTATTTAACAACTGAGAGAATTGAGACTAACAGACTGAGTTCTTAAAAACCTGAACCCCTCCTCTCGTAAAAGTAATATAAATACATGCCTTAAATAAATAAATATAAATACAGGGAAGATCCTGAGGGACTCGGTCTTAGAATTTGCCTTTGCTAAATTTGACCTTGGACCCGGACCTACTTTATAAAAGCCCCCAATTCTATATTTGAAGGTGGTGAAACTCCATTCCTTCACCTTTCCAGCACATATTTTTAAAATATTATAAAGAGCACAGTACTGCATTCAGTATTTCAGCAAAAAGGACTGCTGGTTAAATTCACAGAAAGAATGCATAAAAGGCAGAAGTAAATAAACAAGACAGGATCATTTTTTAAAAAAGAACTTTAAAAATAAATGGTGCTGCAAAACTACTTTTGCAATTACAGTGTCATGTTTGGCCCCACTATGTTTCAGAGGCACTGCATTAAGATAAACAGAATCATCTAATGCACTTTTTCACAACAGTGCTTCTCAGCCAAGGGCTAGTGCGACTTCATTCTACTGCTAGGTGCCAATGACACTTTGGTTTGCTTTACTGGCAACATTTTGGCGACGCATCCTATACTAAGAGGAAGGCTGGAAACCAAGCATATGACAATAGCCGAATCCACTGCGTTACTTCTTTTCATGCTTCTTGGTTAATTCCCCTACACCCAGCTGGAAGCTGCCCCGGTTGCCACTGCCTTTCTCTTCCCTCTGCTGACTCTCCTGGGAGACTTGCTGCACAGCTTGCAGGATGGCATTCTGCACAATCTGTTTGCTGGCATTCTGCAGCTTCACCTCTTCAGGCTCATTTCCAGGTTTCTCACCTAGCCAAAATACAAGAGGGAGGGGAAAAGAACAAAATTAATTTTGGGAACTGTGACAGGGAGGGCAGGTAGGAAAGGTAGAAGGGAAGGTGAGGCTATAAGAACATACTAGAGTGGCCCAGTTAATTGTGAGGAGCCCTCTGTAGCAGATACCACCATTGTCTCCTATTCTCTGTTTCCAACAGATTCTCCATTTGTTTGCCCCAGTAATGTGCCCAACTTACATTCTCATCACCTCAGAATCCTCTGCTGCTAGTGGTGGTCATGAGACACAGTCTTGGCCAATAAGGACCTCTGGGAAAGTTTTTGGAAAGGGACAGACTCATGCCCCCTTTGGCCTTTGGCACCTTCTCCTTCCTCCTACATGGGATGCAGACATAATGCCTTTAGGTACTGCAGCCATCTCACAATAAGCATGGAGATGAAAGCCAACATTCTCGGCATGACCAGGGAAGAAGACAATAGTCCAGTTTTGAAGGCATCATTGAGCACCTGCACAGCCCTGGACTCTGCACCTGTAGACTTGCATGTGAGATAAACAAACTCCTTTTTGTTTAACCCTCTATTAGTCAGGTTTTATGTTACTTGCAACCAAACATATACCTAAAGATATAACCTCACTGGGGCTGGAGAAGAATAGATTATTACTGAATCCACGTTAAGCTAACTCTGCTGTTACAGTAGCATCTCAAGGAATAAAGCCATCCATTCATCAGAATCTGTCCTCCTTGATCTAGAACAGGAGAGGGCAAACTTTTTCTATAGAGGATGAGACAGGAAATATTTTAGGCTTGTGGGCCATGCAGTCTCTGTAACAACTACTCAAATATGCTGCTGTCGCATGAAATCAGCTGTAGACAATACATAAATGAATGCATACAGCTTTGTTCCAATAACTCTTTATTTACAAAAAATAGGGTACAGGCCACATTTGGCCTATGGGCCATAGTTTGTCAAACCCTGATGTGGAAAGGTGAGAATTTTCTAGTTGGAAGGCAAGGCAGTCTACCCAACATTGATTCTTCCTTAGTTAAAAACAAGACAAAACCTTGATTTTATTTGGACTGCTAAGTAACTAGGTATAGTTAAGTTCTGACCAATGAGGTAGAAATTCATTTAGTAAAAATCCTGTAAAAGGTTTTTAAAAGGGAATAGGTAGATACAGGCTCTTTGCCCTCTCCACATCCTACTGCCTGCAGTTCTGACACAATGATTGTCATCACACGAGCTCTTGCTAACCATGAGGGAACCTTTAGAGTAGAAACCATTTTCAGGGATAGGGGAGGAAAAAGTTAGAAGGAGCCTGGGATCCCAATGATCAAAAAGCCACCGTATCAGTCCTTGGCTGCCCAATTTTAGTCCTCTTTCCTGTTAGAAAATATAATATATCTTATTTAAGGCACTGTTACTTTGGATTTTCTTTTATTATGCAGAAAACTTATTACTAATTCATATATGGCAGAATGATCATGAATTTAACATTTGAATAAAGTGCAATCATGAAAATTTTAAATTCTGCCAGCTTATATGTATAGCGATAAATGGAATGGGCATCATTCCCTATTCAAAATCATCTTTTCAGATGTTTCCTCTACTCAAAGTCCCTGCCACCATGAAAATGTATTTTAAAGGGCGGGGGGGGGGGGGGGCTAGTTTTCACCGGGATTGATTCATTAATAGAATTCATACACTCATGAGAACAACATCACATAAGAGAATATTGAGTCGTTCTGAACAGCAGACAATTCTGATCTCTAGACGTATAATTGTCATTTATTCAGCATTCTTGTCACCAGCACCATCTCCTGATGGATTTACAATCTAAAAAACAAGGCAAGATGAATATATTCAAAACTAAAGAATATTCGTGCCTGTACCCCCAAAATTAAGATAAAATGAGAAATCTATACCAAACTGAGCAGAAAAGGAGTCCAGAGCTACAACATGTAACAGACTGAAACTTCAAAGTGGCAGAGAAGAATACTTTGCATATTCTCTGTAGAAAAAGGGTAAACAGTAATGTTAAGAGAAGTGAGGGTGTAGCAATTAAGAATATGTGTTTTGAAGTACTTCAGAGCTGAGTTCAAGTCCTTTCTTCCACTTATAGTCATGCCATCTTGGGCAAGTTACCTCGCCTCTCTAAGCCTGTTTGCACATCTGTAAAATGAGAAAGTAGTAACTTAGGATGATTGCTAGATAGTTAAGTGACATAACACCTATTCGGTTCTTAGTGTGGTTCCTGACACAAAGTAAGCACGCAGTAGGTGTCCACCATTGTGTATTGGTTACAGTATAGATGAAGCTATCGTGATAGAGGAACTCAAACATAGAACAGCTCACACAAGGAAGAGATATTTGTTATTCGTTCATGTAACAGCCTAGAGGTACCCAGTTGGTACATGGCTTGGCTCCACCAGGTTATCTGGGGACTCTACTTCCTTCCATCTTATGGCTCTGCTATTTCCTATTATATTACCCTTAACTGTATGAGTGAAGCTGGTGAACCAAAATCCCATCTGGGGCTGGAAAGTAGCAAAAGAAAAAAATGGAGGGCAAGCAATTTCCTTTTAAAGAATTGTCATATCATCACTCTGCTCATATTCTGTTGGGGGAAACTGAGTCACACAGCCACACCTAGTTACAAAGAAGGCTAGGAAATATAATTGCAAACTGGGCAGTCATATGCCCTACTAAAACTCAGCGAGGTTCTAATGCTAAAACAAAGAAGCAGTTAAGGATTTTAAAAAATTATTTCCATGCAAGGACCAAGGCTCAATTGAAAAAGGAGAGCATATACCTGCAGCAGGTCAAAGCTGATACTCAGGGAGCTCTGTCTGCTACCACTGTACAGTATCCATGTGTAGACAAACAAAAAAAAAGTTCAAAAGCTTCAGGCTTGCTCCTGGAGAGAGTATCTTAGCCAAACCAGATGTGTGTTAACTCTAAAATGTCCCTGCTGTGCAGGTATTTTTCTTTCTTTGAATGGAGGAATCTAGGGATAAGAGTAAGCTGATTCCTTAATAATAGGCAGAGAGAGAAGAGAAAATCTACTCTAAATTTAGCTTCAAGCTAATATCTGAGCTAAATTGTCATGTCCTCATCATCCAGTATGAAGATAAATTGATTAAAAAGTAAAAGGCAGTCTGTGCCAAGTTGTGTCTGGAGGACGCTTTGGTGACTGGCAAGGTTGGTTTAACCCTCACTGCCCTCATTACCACTTTGCTCTGGGTCATGAATATCTATCTATCTGTAGTGGAGGATGTAGGACATAGAAAGTGGCAACTGACTGGAGCAGAGAAAGTGAGGAATGAAGATAAGGGAGAAAGCCACCCAGAACACCTAAAAGACAATAAAAATTAAAAAAAAAATTATGCAAACCATCTACAATCACGCTCTGCAAAAGGATGTTTTGGTCAACGATGGACTAAATATACGATGGTGGTCCCATAAGATTAGTACCATATAATTTAGGTGTGTAGTAGGCTATACCATCTAGGTTTGTGTAAGTACACTTTGATGTTCACACAACAACAAAATCACCTAATGATGCATTTCTCAGAACACATCCTTGTCATTAAGTGACACATGGCTGTGCATACTTGTGTGTTAGGCACTTTGGCGTGCAAGGAAAGATACTCTCTTCTGTTACTCAAAGTTATGGTGGTGATAGGGGCAGCAGTTACTATGGGGATACACGTGTCATAGCCAGGAATCATGGAAATATTTAGTTGAGCCTCACATTGCAATTCAGAAATTGGAAGAATCCAATATAGCTCCAGTAAAGGGATTATCTAGATTATCCTCGGCCATTAGAGTCTCAACTCCCCATCTGCTACTACCAGCTAACAGCTCTCCCTTTCTTCCAGAGTCTCCCCAACTTCATGGTATTTACTTACTTTTGTTTCTGTTTATTTATGACTTGTACTACTTCATGATTTTATGTACTGCCTTCTCTCTGAGGGCATTTCAGCTAAGGTTCTGCTTGCAACTGACTGACTCTTGCCACATCTTCAGTTAAAATTCCTGAGAGAGAACCTGAAAGACTCAGTATACCACCATTATCCCTGAAAAACATCATTTTCATGCCAGGCCACCTCTTAGGCCAGCCATAGATTGAATGCCCATGGCTCATTCTGATCTAATCAGCAGTGGCCCGAAAGGTTGGATCAAGATGTATGAACACGTTCACTTAGGAGGAGGGAACCACCTAGGTCCCATGACTTGGCAAGACACTGTGGGCAGAGCAGCCATTCACAGGATTGGCTTCATCCAGTATAATAACCAACTGGTGCTCCTATGGCATTCACTTGAAAGGACAAGGTATTTGAGAACATCCTGGTGGAGACCGTTAATATAAGTACAGTGTACAGAGGTGCATGATAGCCTGACAGAAGGCAGAGCCAACCACAGAAATCCTCAGGGTCTTGCCATTTACTCACATGTGTTACATTTACTTGAAATTAATGAATCATCTATATGCTGTAGGTGGCCAATTGCCTAGTTTTAAATAATGCAAATGTCCTCAGCCTAATTAGAATTTACAAAACCACTTTTGTATTTCACAAAATATGATGAATTGATTTAATTAGCTTTAAACTCTAAATGCCCAATATAAACACATTGAAAGCAAGAATGTGGTGTAATTAAATTTGTCTTCGGTGTCTTTCCACCTTCGATCATTACCCACACCCCTCCACACACACACACACACACACACACACATACACACTCAGCCATCCTGTGGGCATGTTTTCCTGTGACCACCCAGCCCACCCATGGGGGCCAGCCTTCCACAGGTGCCCTGAGCTCTGCAGTTCTCCTCACTCCCCTCAGAGCTTGCTGTTCCACATGCCATTCTCACCTGCCCCACTGGAAGATACCTGAGGAACTCAGTTGCAATATGCTTGATAATTGGTCTGAATTCCTTATTTATATCCATTAAAGTCATGCTTCTAATGACCATAGGAAGATCCTCCTGATAAAAATTTACCTTGTTTCTT